GAAGAAGTACGTGGCACTAATCACGTGGGCGAATGTGTCTTTGGGATCATCGCAAATGTTATAAACGCCTTTGTGCTGCAGCTGCTCTCGTACAACATCCGCGTGACGGTGACGTCAGTGATGTCGATTGTGGCCATTCTGCTGGTGAGCTTCGCCTGGGACATCGGTGGGCACAACAACGTTGCCGCCTTTATTACGATGCTGGTTGGCGTCATCTTCATTGGGATGTCGTGCAACTACGGCAGCAGTGTGTTCTTGGGCTACATGGAGCGCATGCCGCCTTGGCAGATCAGCTCGTGGTCGTCCGGAACGGGATTGTCGGGTGTTGCCGCCTCGCTCATATTTCTTGGCTTGACCTCCGCTAGCATGACTAACGCACAGATCTTCTTGCTTAGCATCGTTTTTGTCATTGTCTACTGGCTCATGTATTTCTTCGGTCTCAAGTTGCCCTTTTGTGTGCCGGAGAGCTCTGCCAGCACGACGGAGGGAATTGCCCTTTTTTCTTTTTTGCTGTCATTCCTGTCCTCCGCCCCTCTCCCTCTCCCTCGTGTTGCTTCACTGCGCATTCCGGTTTTGTCAGTTCTCTCTTTTTTTTTGTACTATTATTTTTCTTTTTCACCACGAAAAGAAAAAAAAAGAAAACAAACAACTAAACTGACGCTCCCCCGCTTTTTTTTTACGTCTTTTCTTCTCTTTTTTCTGACTTTCTATTGCGTTTAGGGCGGGACCCGGCAACACGCATAGGAGGGGCGAGGGTCACGCATTACATTACACACAAATACGCACAAAAACGAGAAGCTAAAAGTAGTTTATTTTTAATTGTACTTTGTTTGTTTGTTTTTCTCTTGCTCTCACACCAGTGCGCGTTCTCTGTCGCTTCCCCTACCTTGCGTTGCGCACGTATACCCCGCAGCTAGGCCCTGGGGAGACGCGGGGCTGCGCATAAATTCCGTCTGCTCGCAGCTGCACCTGGCTAAGCTCTGTACTTATACGCAGGCAAGTGCAGGGAGGGTTTTTTTTTCGGTAAGAGGAGGGAGATATGCCGCAGCCTCTGCCGCAGGAGTTTCTTGAGGATGCCCTTGCCACCTGGGAACGGCTGCGGCAATGGACCGATCTTAACAATTACCTCTGCGCGCTCCGCCGCTCACCGTTTCACCGCCAGTTGCAGTCGGGGCGGGATCCGTACTCGCTGCGCCTGGCGCGTCGGGTAACGGAGGTGGTGGAGAGCCTGGCAGCCCGTGCGGATATGGCTGTAGAGGAAGATGTCACGCCGCGCGGGGCACTGTTGGCGCTGGCCAAGGATGTGCGCCTGGCTCTTTCGCCCCTGCCCGGGTCGCAGCCTTCGGAGTTGGGGCCGACACCAGCAGCGGCAGCGGACACGCAATTGCCCTCCTCCGCCTTCGGCCCGGCAACTAAGGCGGCAGCTGCGGCCACGCAAACCCTTGGCGCCGTTGCTTCTGCAGGCGGTTTTCCCTCTGACGCTTGGAGTGTGTCTGTCGTGCACCGATCCGTCTCTGGCACGATGGTCATGGAGGGACTGCATGTACTCACGTGCCCGGGTGTGCAGCTGCGCATCGAGGCGGCGGTTGCGCGGCTGCGGGAGCGGGTCAAGGAGGAGTTGGTGGGTGGGGTCAATTGGGACGCGTTTCCCCACACACCCAAGGAGCTGCAGGCGTTGCGGGCCACCACAATGCTCCTAGACGACTTTGAGGCGTCTTACCGTCGTCTGCTTTGCACATTTCCGTGCGTGCGGGCCATGGGCTCGCCACACGTCCCGGTGGCGCTACTGCCGGTGTTGTACGAACAGTACTACCAGCTGGGGGAGTGGGTGCTGGAGACGGAGTTCACCGCACGGGCGAGTCCCGGCGCGCGGGTGCAATCGTTTGAGCAAAGAAAGCTGCAGTTCACGTTGCTGCGCCCGGATAGAAACTCGGCGTGGGGGTTGCAATTTAACCACAACGGGAAATTGACGGGGGTGAGTGCGGTGGTGCGGGCGGCAACCGGTGCGGGAGAGAAGCTGCATCAGTTCATGCACGCGAGTAAGGGCGGGCTTTCGCTGCTCTCGTGTAATTTAAAGCCGGCGGATTTCAATAACCTGGACGGGGTCCAGGCGACCGCGAAGCTGGAGGCACTGACCCCGAAGCAGAAGCGCCTGTTCGTGAGGATGCAGCTGGTCTCCGACAGTGCGCCGGCCGTGGAGCAGCTAGCCTTTCATGCCACTGGGACAGAAAACTCCTCCTCCTCCTCCTCCCCGCTGCCGCCGCCGCCGCAGCAGCAGCAGCAGCGAGGGCCACAGGAGTTGCCCGTCGCGACGCTGGTGCTCCACCGCGACAACTACAGCGTCTCGTGGGATGTGGCCATCACCCGTGAACTCCTTGTTGTGAGTGTCCCTGACGGCATTCTATCACCGGCGGCCGTGGCGTTTTTTGCGCGTCACCCCAGGCGGGTGCGCATCGCCGGGATAAACGGCGTGGAGGTGACGAACCCGGCCCAACTGGAGGCGCTGAGTTCGACGATCAACACAATTGTGATCGACCTGCAGATCATCCCACCACCGTCGTCATCGACGTCGGACGGGGGGCAGCAGGCGGACGCAGCGCCACCAGCAGCGGTGGAGATAAACGGCAGTGAGAGAGAACAGCTGCGGGGCAGCGGGGCACCAGCGCCTGTAGATGGCGCCGTCCCCAAGCGTGCCAAGAGACAGCCGCCCGCGGCCTCCAAAGAGGCGGCTACGGCCCCAACGAAGAATCCGCCTTTGGGCAACGAAGAAGGCAAGCAGCGGAGGCGGGGTTCTGGTCTGCAGGAGCAAACGCGGAAAACACCCCTGCGAGAGGCAAGTCCCGCGGGTCCGCCAGGGAAAGTAGGGCCGGCCGCGACTCTGGCGTCTTCTGCGCAGGACTGTGCGTCCCCCACTCCGTCACTTCCCTCGAGAGGCGAGGCGTTGGAGAGGGAGGAGGGACGCGAGGAGGCTGTGCCGAAGCCTCTGGCGGAGGCTGTGCTGCGCGACGTGGATCGCTTCGCCCTGTCGGAGAAGCCACTTGTGTCCATCCCGTCGAGGGAGCTAAAAACAACAACTGCGGCGCCTCTCCCACGCCTGACGGAGGAGCAGGAGGAGCAGAAGGAGGAGGTTGGCGCGGCCGACGCCCCTGCTGGAGGTCGTCTCAACGGGAGTCACGTGCCCAACAGCACGCCCGTCGCTGCCTTGTTCTCGGAGGAATTCACCCCCTCCTTGGATCTCGATGGGCCGGAGGAGCCTGCGCCAGCGGCCGAGGCTGAGGCTGAGGGTGCGAGACTGCCTCTGACGCCGTCAGCGTCGCACGAGCAGGAGCAACAACAGCGGCGGCAGCCGCCTGCCGAGCTGCCTGGCGGCGGCGCAGCTGCCGCCGTGGCTCCACTCAAGTTCCCAAATGACGTGACACTAAATCTGCTCACACTCGATGAGATGGTCCTCAGCCGCCAGTCGGCCGCGAAGAAGTGGGGTCTTTCAATGGAGAAGGTGGGAACGGAGTCGGGCCGAACGATTCGGGTGGTTGGGCTGCCGCTTATCATGGATCCGCGGCGTCGGCAGCATCCCTTTCACAGGCTGTTTACCTCTCGGAAAGGGGATTGGATCATCATGAGCGTCAATGGCACCCCCGCCACACGGCTGCCTGAGGTGATGGATATAATGAAGCACGCACTGCACATGCAGATTAAATTTCACAGAAGGTGGTGATGTCACGGACAAATTCAAGTTGCGGGAAACTCCTACCCGCCCGCCCCATGCGAGGGAGAATGGGAAATGGTACAGCAGGCATACAATGAGGCGGTATATGGATTTGTTGACATCCGTCATAGAGAGTGGCATGATTCCCCACACATACGCATACACATACACACGCACAAAGCGATCAAATACATTCATCTTGGGCGCATTCTTGTTTTTCTGTGTTTTACTTTTTTCCCTTCTTCCCCTCTCTTTCTTCTTTTTTTTTTTTTCGGTTCCTCATCACAAGAACCTGTAATAATGCTTCTTCCGCCCCTCGTCTCTTTTGAGGCGGAGGCTTTGCAAGGAGATCTCTATGTATAGGTATATGCGTATGTGCGCATTCACGTCTCCTCTTCGTTCTTTTCCTCTCTTTGTTCTAGCTATCTATATCTCTCTTTGTTACTCTTTCGTTCCATGTGTGCTGTAGGCTCTGCATTTTCTCTGTCTGTCTCTTCCCTGTACACCCAGTGCAGCCATGACGGGGTCTCCGCTGACCTTGGCGTGGGTCGACGCCCACCTCAGGCGACGTGGGCTGCCACGCAAACACGCACCGGAGCCAACGGTGGGCGCGGGGGAAGTTCCAGGCGCACCTCCCGGCGGACTGCGTGCGGCACCGTCGTCCTCGACGGACGGCGCGCCGCCAGTGGAGGAGATACTTGCTGCGGTAGACCACCGCCTGCTTTCTGGCGACGGGCATCCGTCGGTTGCGTCGGGCAGGGGCAGGCCGCGGGGCACCGAGGAGGACGACCGCAGCGACAGCAAGGGTGTCGACATCCTCAACCAGTCGCAGCGGGCGACGCCGCAGCGCGTGGCTTCGGGTGTGGCATCATTTGTGAAGCAGCAGGCGGAACGCACAGGCAGCTTAAATGGTCCTACGCAGACATGTTTTGTGCTCCACACAGTTCTCACTGCGTGCGTGCGACATGCACTTCACTACAGCCGACTTGACTCGTCTAGTGGGCTTGCCTCCGCCTCTTTCTCTGCATCTTCTCCTGCCGCCACGAGCAACGTCGAGTCGGCTACCGAGGCTGCGGCTATGCGTACACGTGGGGCGGCGCGTGAGGCTGTCGCGGCCTCCTCGCAGATCAACTTTCCCTGGTCGGCGCACGTGGCATCCGAGCACTTACTGGAGGTCATGCAAGACGCCGCCGTCCAAAAGGGCCTACGCTCCCAGCTTTGGAGGGCCGTGGACAGGGAACACAAGGGCATCATGCATCACGCCATCAAACTGTGCTCGAACGCAGCCCCCGTCTTGGCCGACATTGGCGTGGAAGAGGCGGAGGTGAGGAGGCTGTTTGGCATCCCAGCGGATGTTTTGGCCGCGGCACGCGAGTTCTTTGACATTTCCTCCCCTTGCTTCTCCACTTGTCCTGCGGCGTTGGTGTCTCTGCCGCGCCAACATCAGCTGTCGGTGTTGAGTGAGCATCATTTTGTGTACACGACAACGTCCTCGCGGCTCGCGGAGTTGCTGAATGAGGAGATGTCTGTGGTGAAGCGCATAGTGCGGGAGGGTGACAAGTCGATGGCGGGCGTGGAAGGCGGCTGGGGGTCGTCTGACGGGTTTGCGCGGCAGTTGACGTTGCTGCTCTTGGAGATGGCGCGTGTACGTATGGCGTTGGCGATTCTTCTGCAGTTTGAGGCTCTCCTCCGGCGCTGCGCGGCGGCGGGGGGGCAACAACAACTTCCCGACGACGCGGCCGCAGTGCCACCGTCCCCCGCCTCCCCCGCCTCGCTGGCGCAGGGGCTGTGCGCGTTGGCCGCGGCTGCCGCATCGCGGGCGCTGGAGACGCGGCCGCACCGCAGCCGCTTCGTCGCACACTTCCGTGTCGTGTCGCTCACGCCCCGGCAGGGGCGGCCCAGCGACGCACGCCACGTGGAGACGCCGTACTACAGCCTCAAGTCCGTCTTTGCGGCGCTCTCGCAGGCGGCCGCCACCACCAACACGGCAACCGCCGAGGCGGCAGACGTTGGCGTCAGCGCACCACCGGCGACTCCCGCCGCCCCCGCCGCGCGATTGCCTGCGGCGGCCGGAGTGTCGGAGGACTCGGTGGAAGAAGACCCGGTGATGCGTGCGGTGATGGCGGCGGCGGCGGCGGTAACACCGGGGAAGGCGGCCCCCCGCGGCGGCGCCACGCACTCACGCCCGCCACTGAGGGTCGCTTCGTCCACCGCCACAGCGGGTCCTCTCGCTCAAGCGCAGCGGCAGCGGCGGGGGCGCGCAAGCGCGGCGCCGTCAGCGTCGCAGGAACGGGAACCACAGGCAGAGTTAACGTGGCACTTCCGGTGCTGTGAAGGGGAATTGGGGGCGGTACTCAATGCGGTCGACGCGCCACCATGCGATGAGACGGAAGTGAAGGTGCAGCTGCTGCGCCCGGCAACGCATGTTCCGTGGCCGTTCCGTCTGGAGGCGGTTGCGGCCGACACGAATCTCCACGACATTCCCGCAGCAACTTCTCTGCTATCCACGCCTTCGGACACGTTTGTGCAGCCCCCGGCGACTGCGGCGGTGCGGATGCGCTACAACCCTGCATGGAGGACTGCTGCGAGCATGCCAACCCCGCTTGACACGCAGCACGCCACGCGCCTGCAGCGCGTGCTCACGCATCGTCATGGCCGTCTACTGACGCTGAACGGTTGCCCCGCGGAGAAGCTGAAGTCGGTGATGCGCATTGCTGCACAGAGTGTGCGCCTGGTGGTGCGGTTTCGGTAGGAGTGGGAGTGGGCTGGGGGGCAAGCGGCGCCTTGTCGCACCGCGCAGTCTCTGCTGCTGCGCGAGACAGGGGAACGTGAGACGGACGACGACAAGGAGGAGGAAAACATTTGCAAGAGGGCAGCTTCCACGATGGCGGGACCACACGAGCGGAGGGGTGTATTCCTCACGTACGGACTGCGGGGCTCGTTGCGGGCTTTTCTTTCATGTCTTTGCGTAGCCATGCACGTTTCTCCTCTATCTTTTTTTAAAAAATTGGTTCTTTTGCCTGTATACATGCATCCCCCCCCACCACACACACGAAATATTTTTTTTTGTCGACTTTCTCTCGCTCTATTTGTATCTGCGCGTGTGTCTCCTTCTGCGTTCTTCGTCTTTGGTTTATGCTTTTTTGTTTTGGTTTGTTTTTGTTTTTGTTGTCGGCAGAGCTTCGACCGCGAAAAAGCGACAGCGTGCGAGGGAGGCGAGGCAAGCAAAGAGCAAAGGAGGAAAACAAAGCAGCGTGTCTGAAGTCCGCACAACAGAGACATCGCTGCCACCACTCAAGCACGAAGAAGTTTAGCAGCAAGGAAGGTAACAGTTAGTAGGGAAGTACTGGCAATTTGGCCCCGCAGGCAGAGAGGGCAGACACACAGAGACACACACACACACCTGTGAGAAGCGGCGGTCGAGCGAAGCGCGAAGGGCGACAGCTAAGTGCAGAAAAGGAGCAGAGCACCTTAAGAACCCAAGAAGAAAAAGCAATAATAATAACCATGGGGTCTGGCGCCTCTACAGCCGAGACTGCCCACTCACGGCTGTACCAAGAGGGCTACCGGTCCTTGCAGGAGGGTCGCTACACGTACGCCGAGATTTACTACGATCAGGCCATTGAGAAGCACGAGGGTCATTACTTTTGGACCCGCCTGGATGAGCTTATTGATTGGGAGCAGCGGCGGCAAAACAAGTTGGAGCCGAATAAGTCGGAGGTGAAGAAGAAGGGACAAGCCCAGGAGGAGGCAGCGGAGGAGGGGGCGTACCCAGATGTGACGAAGGACACGATGAAGGACGGGAGTGAGCTTGACGTGGAGATGGCCGATTCGGGGGGTGCGGACGCGGCTGGAGGGATTGAAATTCCCCTAGACAGCCGGCTTGAGGTTATTTTGGAGTACCTGCAGCTGCGCGCCGACGTCGCGGACTCGTATATGGCGGCCACCCGCTACGAGGAGGCAACACCGCACCTGGACTTTATCACCTCCCATACCCGCATCTTTGTGCAGTTTCTTCGGCTTGCCCGCGAGTCAGCATCGGAGGCGAGGGATGAGGAGAACGGCGCGAGCAACCCGCTTGAGATGGGCGGCGGGGCTGCGGGTGGGGCTGCAGGAAACGTTCGATCACGCCTAGGCGCGTTGATGGGAAACGACCTCGAGCGGGAGTCTGTGCTTGACTGCCTCGAGCAGCACCTGCGCCTTCACTGGGTCTCGGCCATGGCAAACGGTGTATTCGTCTCCTCCGAACGGTTTAAGGAAGGGCGGGGCGAGAAGAAGCGCAAGAAGGACCTCGACGTGGCCGTGGTGGCGTGCTCAAAGGTTTACCAGGAGTTGTACAAAGTTGCCCTGCGACGGGCAAAGAGCCTGACAAACACCGTTGTGTTGAACTTTCTTGAGGCGGTCATGGAAGACTTGGATGCCGAATCCTCCACGACGTCCATTACAAACGAGGGCCCCCCGGCTGCGAAAAACAAGCCACGGGTTAACAACTTCTTCGACGACGCGGAGACGAAGTCCTTGTGCAATAAGGCAAACGGCGCCCTCGACATGGTGCTGGAGGATGGCGAGGAGTGCCCGATAAAGGTGTACCTGCAGATGATCCACGACCGCCGCTCACTTTGCCGTGTCGTGCCCGCCCCACAGCAGGCCGCCGCGCTGCGGTACATCAGCTGGATCGATGAGGATATTCATCGCGTTGTGCCTGGCACGAACTACCACCTCGAGATTCAGTGCGGCATGGTGGACGAGAAGCAGAAGAAGCAGCTGCAGAAGCGTTCGATGAAGTTTGTCGCCCAGAGGCACTGTAACTACAACGACCGCGTCCTGCTGGGGAAGAGCTTCGACGAGGAGAACGCGCTGCTTCTCTTCCCCGTCTTCCTCATTCGAGCGGACGTGCAGTTTCAGCTCGGCGCCGCCACCAAGGGCATCAAGGACCTCGAACTTGTCGAGAAACTCTCCACCCAGCTCTACGGCATGGATTCGCTGGAGCGGCAGAGCATTATGCGCTCCGTGATGGAGTCCCGCAAGCGGGGCGGATCGCTCTTCATGATGTTTGAGGACTAAGCCCGCGGCGGGACATCGACAACAACAAAAAGTAAAGAAGAAGAGGAAATAATTTCGACGACCAAAAGCAGCACGCAAAAGCGAAAAAAAAAGTGGGAGGAGGAGGAGGAATGAGGAAGGCGGCGCAGAAAAAAGAAAAAAAGAGGAGAAAGAAAACAGAGTAAAACACAAGCGGAAATAACACGACGCTGAGTTCTTCGCCCTCGCCCTCCACCCACCTGCTCGATCCCCCCCTCTCTTTTTTGTTTTGTTTTCTTTGTTTGTGTTGTGGTTGTGGTTGTTGTTGTTGTTGTTGTTTTTTTTTTCTCGCACCTCCCTCGGCGGTTGTGCGCCCCTGCATGTACATAGGCAACGGGTGGCAGTGACGGGTCACGCGGAGGAGGCGGAGGAGGGTTAGATGCACACGTGGTACATATGTATTATATATGTGTGTGCGTGTGTGTGTGCGTGTGCGCCCCCTCCCCCTCCCGTGTTGGTTTCAGCGGCAGTCAGCGAGACGGACAGACACATTATGTATGCATGCCTGTACGCATTTTCACACGCACACACACACACACACACACACACACGCACACGCGCTCTTAAACACATGCATGTGTACGTGTCTACCATCGTGGTACGGCCGGGCTGGTTGCTGCTGTGCCGAGTGTAGCTCGCTGCGATGTGGTTCATCTGCTCACCCAGCCACCCACGCAACAATAACAGCAACGAAGGCATAAAAAAAAAGGAGTGAAAAACTGCGAATGTAAACAAAAACAAGAACAAAGAAAAAAAACAGGAAGGGGGAAGAAACAAAACTTCCCCGCTTCGATTTGAAACAATGAAAGTGAAAAAGAATAAAGGAAGGAGAAATGATGGAAGTGTTTTGGGGGCACCTTGCACGCAACGGTAAGGGCGAGCGCAAGAAAAGCGTAAGCGGGTGCCGTGATCGAAGTGTGTGGAGGGACAGCGCGGGGCAAGTGGAGGCCAAGAAGTGGGGATAAAACGCGAACGTGGAAAGCAAGTGGAACAATAATAAAATGCAGCCGCAGGTGCGTCCGTAATTATCTAGATAAGTGGATGTGGCGGTGCTTGGTTCCTCCTTGGTGTCGTGCTATAGTATACCTCCCTAACTGAATGTATTGATATTGATGGAGTGCGTGGGCGTATCGAATTGTACGTGTCTCCGCAATATTTTTCTTTTTTGTTACTTCTTTTTTTTTTTTCTCTTCTTCTTCTCTTGTCGTTGTTTTTGTGTGGGCCATGCCGTGCGTCTCTCCCCCTCTCTCAGTATATGTAAGCGGTGACGCAGTCCTCTGTATCACCGTCCACTTGACGTGCTTCTGGATCCCATCACGGAGAGGTACTTGAACCCCACCCTTTTTTTTTTTTGCAGTTGGCCTTCTGCAGCTCCCAGGTTACTGATATAATTGAGTGCATGCACGCATTTCCTTTTTTTTTTTCCACTCCCCTCCACTTACCTGGTCAGCATCCTCGTCATTTTCTTAGTTGAAGTTTACTTTTGATTTTCTTTACTTTGTCTGCCTGCTTGTGAGGCCCCAGCGAGGATAGTTTATTTCTGGGGAAAGTGCCGCATTCTTTTTTTTTTTTGTTCCCCCTTCAGGGTTCGTCTGCACGTACATGTATATGTATATATATATATATCTGTGTGCGTGTGTGCGCATTCCCTCCGCCTGATGCTTTTGCCGGTGGGTGTGGGACTCGAGTAAAGACATATTGCTGCACCGCTGCGGCTGCACATGCGCACGCCCTGCCTGTGCCCAGCCATACCCCAGACAATGGAGGTGCGTGCAGCCACAAGTAGAGTGCTCCAATGCACATCCGCAGTGGGCTACGTGCGGTGCCTCTGCAATGTGAACCGGCACGCGATGGAGCGGAGAGGCAGAAGGGCTGGTGCAAAGCAAAAGAATGCAACGCGCAAAAAGTTAAGAGCCTCTCAACGACAACAAAAACGAAGGGGGAAAAAAAAGGAGGACGAGAAGGACCGACAGAAGCTGCTGGAATAAACAAACAAATGAAAAACGGCAACAAAAAGAAGCAAAAATAAACGGAAAATGAAATAAACGAAAAAAAAACACACACACACAAACAACAGAGAAATTAATAAATGTACCGTGTACATACATACGTTATATGCCCCTCTCTATATCTATCTGTATATGTGTATAGATAGATATCTGCCAATGTGCTACACACTCTGCGAGAGATGAGCGGTGCAGGAGAGGGAGTTGGAAGGGTGGCAGCTGCGATGCTGGATTAACGCATTGCCGCCAATATTTCCCATTTTCCCGCCGTGGTTTTTTTTTTGCCCCATTTTCTTTTCGCCCTTTTCGACCCCCCCCCCTTGGGGGGACTCAAAGAGCCACTGTTGTTGTTTTTTTCTTTATTATGGCCTTTGCAGGGGAGGGGGGAGGGGGCGTGGAGAGGAGGTGGCGCTGCCTGCCGATCTTGCAGTGGGCGCCACCACCCTCCTCTCTTACCTTTTTTTTTGTCTTGTTTTTGTTCTGACGTGCCTTCTTTCCCCTCCCCCCTCTGTATCTTGAGTATGCTGATTTTAGTTTCGACTCATGGGAGTTCGCACGCGCACGACACGTTTTTTTTTTCCCACGCTTCTGAAGGACGTGACTGTCGCAGTTCGGCTTGCCGGCCTCCCCGCAGCCACGCGCGGCCGTCGCCGCCCGTTTTTCTTTTTTTTCTTTTTCCTTCCCCCTTTTGCTCCACTTCCTCCTCATCCCTGCTGCTGCGCTTCTCTCTGTGGTCGGTGGCCTGTCGTGGAAGGGGCTTGGCGGGGCAAGGACTGGGCCGCCGCGCACGCTGAGGGAACGAGACACACTCACACAGACGCAGCGAGAGGAAGAGCGGGAGGGGAGAGAAACAGCAAAAGAGGGGACTGGGGGAAATGCGGGGGGCGCACGCCTCATGTTCCTGCTCCCTGCTGGCGGAGAGTTGCAGCTGCTCGGAGAGGGCACGCTGGAGTGACAACGACAGTGGCTGCAGCTGCAGCTGCAGCTGAGCTGCGCCGGACATTCGACGTCCTCCTCGTCGGCCTGTTCTGCTGCTTCTTCGTGCTGTTGCTGCTCGTGCTCCATCTACGCGTCATGCTGCTACTCCACTGACGCTGCGGCGAGTCTTACAACCAGCGGCTCCCGCGATCGTGCCGCGCCATACAAGTTCCAGGCGGAGCTGCTGATGGAGGCGCCCCGGCTGCTGCGTTTTTCTGCGGTGCCACTTCCATCCGCCGCAGCTGGGGGGCTGGCGGAGCTGCGCGTGGGCGCTGACGCCGCGCCTCGCGCGCTTTCGCCGCCGCCTCTACCGCATTCCGCGTCACGCACCGGGGCGAGGGCAACCCGGTCAACGGTGTCGACCCAGACGGACGACAACGCGCAGGCGGAGAGGCGTCGCTACGCACCTCCGCCGCAACGCTCCATTGGGACTTGGGCGGCATCGACGACGACCACACGTGCAACTTCGCCCGTGCCGACCTCTCGCGTCCATGCCGCCAGCAACACAGAGTTCACTGGAGAGCAGTGGGAGGGGCAGGCACATGCGCTCCTGCAGAAGACGGCCCTCCTACAGGAGTACGCGGAGCGTAACGAGTTTCTCGAGAGACGGCACGTGTCTATGGAGCTCGCCCTCGCGGCGGCGCAGGAGCGAATACGGCAGGACGCAGAGATGCACAGCACGGTTGTGTCGTTTCTGACGACGATGATGGGCGAGCAAAGGCTTGAGCTGCAGCGACTGGAGTCGACGTGGCGACAACTTCTCTTTGAGCATGAGGCGGAGTCGCGGTCGATGCTCCGTGCGCTGCAGGAGGGGTGGGGGCGCGCAACACGGTCGACGCTGCAAATCCGCAACGAACACGGGCAGTTACTGTGCGCCGCGGAGAGGTCCTTGCAGCTGCAGGAGGCCCTTCTCCAGCAGTCACTTCTGGACGAAGTGCGCCACCGTGATGAGGTGAACGACGCCGAGTGGCAGTCCCGCCTCTCGCTTTGGCAGTTGTTTGTTTTTGCGGAAAAGTCTCAACGTGAGTCCTCCCGCGCCGCCGCCGCTGCAAATTTGGCGTTGGAGGATAAACGTGCGGCGGTGCTGGCGAAGGCGGCGGTGGAGGATCAGCTACGTGCTGCATTGGAGCGCGAGAAGGAGTTTCGTCTTCAGTACTTGCACGTGCTAAGTCTTCCCACCACCACCATCGTTTCCTGCAGTCACCCGTCCAACGCTACCGCCGCGGTCGAAGATGACGTTCCTGTCCACGCACGGTTTGCGCGTGCACACAGGGAGGCAGCGGAAGCCGTCCGTGCTCAGCGTCGCTGCCCCAAAGGACAACTCCACGTCTTTTAGCATTGTGGTGTCAAATGAAGGTGTGAAAACTCTTTCTTTCTTTCTTTCGTTCCCCCCTTTTTTTCCCTTTTCCACTTATTGCCACATGTGTGCATTATATTCGCGTGGGCTGGGTTCGTTCTTCTTTTGGAAGAGCATTGGAGTGCGAGGAATGCACTTTTTTCGTTCTTGTATTTTTGTTCTTGTTTCATTTCTTCTTCCTCTTGGCGCGTGCGCGCGTGCTGTGCCTGCTGGCGGGTGTGGGTGTTTAACTGTGCCGTCACGGAGGGGAAAGGCGTAGTGCCTTTTTGCTGCGGCGGTAATGCCTGAGCTATTAACCGTCCAACAGGTGGATCCATGGCTGCAGTTCAATCCGTACATTGTCTCCGGCTATCGTCCTCGCATGACTATTCGTGCCGCGTTGCGTTCCTTTTTTGGCTGGCACAACGAATCGTTCAACATCTGGACACATGCCATCGCTGCGTGCTTTGTGTTTTACCTGACGCTTTTCCCGCCCGCCATGGACCCCACGGCCACGACCACGACCACGACCACGACGACCAGCGTTGGTAGTGGTGGTGCCGGTGGCGTGACTGCGATGGCCGCCGCCGCCTTGCCGTCGTATGGGCGCCGATGGCTGGGCACGAGCAACGAACATCTCGCTGGCGCAAACCCCACCACGGCATTTCGCGCCACCTGCCTCGTGTTTATTGCGATATTCATCTGTAGTGTGGTGTATCATCTTTTCATGCCCTGTCCCACCTCAGAGGTCTCGTACCGACGCCTGATGAACTGTGACGTGACTGGCGTCGTCCTGTGCATCACTGCCACCTCGTGGAGTTTTCTCTACCGCGGCAACGCGTGCAGTGCAGGCTGGACCTCGCACGCAGGCTTTGGGGCAGTGCTTCTGTCCGGCCTGTTTGTGCTCTACTGCGTCCTGTTTAATGCGACCTGTGGGGCGATTGGTCGTCTTAAGGCGATTGGGTTTCATTGCGCCCTCCGCCTTTCGGTTCTCCTGTGGATCGAGCTTCCCAAGGTGCAGTCCCAGGGCTACCACCAGGCGCTTCACTGCCATGCGATGAGCTACGTGTTTATCGCGCTGGGCGGGGTCATTGGTGGGTTTCGGTTCCCCGAGCGACAGTTGCGTCGCGTCACGCAGCCGCAGCCGGCGTCCTCCGCCGCGGAGGCGACCGCCACGTCACGCTTTTGGCGGTGGGTGGGGCGCTTCCTGGTGTCAAGCGAGGAGATTGACTACATGTGGAACAGCCACACGCTCTGGCACTACTGCATCATGCTGAGCACAACGATGATGCTGCTTGGCTTCTACTACGACGTGGAGGAGTATGAGTTGGCGCGCTGCTGAGTTGGGTGGCTGAGAAGGAAAAAAAAGAAAGAAAGAAGGAGGGAGGACCAAAGGGGCGACGCGTGACTTGTGACGATGGGCGGGGATGCATGTATCCGTTGCAGTCCTCCTTTCTCTGCCACGCACTGTTGCTTCTTCTTCCGTTGTTGTTGTTTTTTTTCTTACATTTCATCTCCCTCTCTCTGCGGTTGGGTGCGTGGTGCGTCTTTTTTTTCTCTTCCGCCTTGATGCCTTTTTGTGCTTTTCTTTTGTCTCTCTCGGGTGTCGGTGGCGTTGTGCGTAGACCTTCCCAACGTGGTGTCTGCAGGAGCTCCACGTTGGGAAGAAGAAAGGGGCGGGGCAGACACACACACTTTGGATTCGTCAAAGCAGCTGGAATTAGAGGCTGCCTTGAGGGTTGGCGCCAATGGCAGCAACGGCAGGGGCGTTGCCTCCGTTGGGGTCCGTGCCCGCCATCGACCGTCTGCGGGACGCAAAGCGACGCTTTGCGACTTTCGAGAGCTATTCCGCGTCAGCTCCTTCGGCCGAGCCGCGTCCGGCTGCCCTGCGGCTGAGCGCGCCGCGGCAGCGAGGATGCTCAACTTCTTCCTCGCCGCCGTATGCTGCGGCGACCGTGGCTGGTGGGCAGCAGGAGGGAGTGCGTGGTTCCATGCCACACGTGTCTGGTCTCTCAAGCATACGCCGGCATTCCGTAGGAGATTCCGAGACGAACAGCGTCTTGACGTGGACTCTGCTGAGCCCCAACTGTCGTAACTCGCCTCGTGGTGTGGCGCCAACGGCATCATCGTCTTCTGGGGTTGTCGGCAGCGAGGAGGCGGAGGGCAATAGTCCACCGGCGGCGACGGCGACATCGAGCGGAGGCACGGGCAGCAGCGGCGTCGGCGGCGCCGTGTCAACGGCGACACTTAGACAGCACGAGCATCGCGTGGGAACAATGGAAGCACACGACTTTTACAGACGGCGCTACGAGGCCCAACGCATAGAGGTGGCGAGGGAGGAGGAGGAGTGCCGCCGACGACGCGATGCGTGCAGCGCGGCGGTGACGCGGTTTATCTCGCATTCAACGCGGTTGGCGTCTGTGATGGAGCTGCAGCGGCGCATCTACGACGAGGTGATGCAGCGGCCATTGGAGACCTTCGCCTCCACGGAGCCGGCCTTGACACCCGCCGCTGGGCCACCACGACGCTCGAAGCTCTCACACCTTTTTCTCCCTGCCGGGAGGGAGTCTGAGGGCGTCCCTGGCGCCTCGGCGCCTGTGACAGGCGGGGCGCAGGTTGCACTGAGAATGTTGAAGTCCAGCTTTGCCTCCGGCCGCCCTCCGTCAACCGGCACGTCAAGTAAACCGCAGTGTGGACAAGCGACCACGCCGGGGCTGGAGGCTGCGGCGCCGGCGGCAGGTGAGTTGCCGTCAGAAGCAACGATCCTGTCTGCAGAAGAGGTGCCGCTGGACGGGAAAGAAAAAAGTCGCAACAACGACGACAGCGCTAGAAAGCGGAGTAGCAGCGCGGAGGAGGTTCTTGCCGTCCCACCCCCGGCTGAGCATGGGGAGCCCAAGTCAGTTTACCCCAGCCTGGTCACGGAGACCGCCACAGCATCGACGGCGATTTACGACAGTCGTATCCGGTACACACGCGAACAGAACGAGGAGGAAAGAGCTCTCTCACCCGACTCTCAACCCCGTGCCTCGGGTCGAGCAGCTTTGACGGAGGAGGAGCAGCGTGGTTTGAGGCTTCTTTCAACGGTTCGTGAGCTGCGTCGCCAGGCGGAAGAGCTCACGATTGCAGTGCTTAACGCTGTAGGTAAACGAGGCTCTGAATCAACAGGCGCAAGTGTTTTTCGTGGACTTTTTTTGCCACCCATTACGGCGATGCGTCTTTTGCGGGCCGAAGAAGAGATGGGCTTGCGATTGGCGCGTCTGGCGGCCTCGGAGGAGGCGGAGGCTGGGGGCCTTCGCCCCGTCACGGCGGCGTTGCGGCAGCAGCATCCGTTTAGGCGTTCAATACCGCCCCCTCCGCCGGTCTCCGTGCAGCTGGAGACGTTTCATTTGCCTGGAACGCGGCTGCGGAGAGGACCGGACCAATACCAGCGAAGAGAGCAGCAACAGCAGCAACGGCAGCAGGAAAAGGCGGTGAGCGACAATAGCAGGGCGGCGGTGCGGCCGCCGGGTACGCGGCACGCCATTGATGCGACGGAGGAGGACGCGCGAGAGCACGGAGGGCAGCGGCCCCAGCGGTCTGCAACGAGCGGGGGACACGAGGCCCGCTTGGGAGGGGCCCTTGTGGATGGAGAAGCCTCGTCGCAGCTTGCAGCCGCCACAAAAGAAGGCAGAATGGGGGAACAGCAGAAGTCGCAAAGCTTGCTTCCTGAGTTGCACCTGAGGCGTTTCTGCCTTGACATATCTTCATCCTCGTCACCTGGCTCCTTGTCTTCTTCCTACACGGGCCCTGAGAGCTCCACGGCGGGTAGAAGCCACGCTGACCGTACCGCCTCCTCCACCTCATTGACACTCTTCTCCTCCGATATGACAACTACGCTCGAGGCGCGAACTGGGGAGGATGCGAACACGACTGCGGTGCTGCGGGGCAGTACGACGGGGCGGAAGGGGGAGGCCGCCGCCGAGAGTGAAGGGGCGAATGGGAAAGACGGTCTCTTTCCTGCTTTCCACCAGGGGGGGCTTTCGCTGGAGCCGGGCGGCTCGACTACAGCGCGACTACCGGGGAACTTCACGAGTTCTTCCGTGGCGCCGAGGGTTGCGGATGATTTTACTGACGCCGCCTACGTCCCCATCTTTCACGCGGAGGAGGTCTGCAATAAATCAAAAAAGGACGGCAATAAGGCAAGGAAAGTGGCAAAACGCGTACTTTCTTTTTTTTCATTCGGTGGTTGCTGCGGGGGCGGGGGTGGCAGCGCTACTGCGGATGGGAGGAGGAGGGATAATGCAGCACTGCTCAGCGAGAGAGAGGCCCGACGTTAGATCCAGCCTGAATTCCCCCCTTGTTTTTTTCTCCTCTCCTTCTTTTAGTCAATCTGTTTTTATGACGTCTATAGTCCAGCAAGACGCATACTGGATTACTTTCGCTAATTAATACTTGTGGGCCCTTCGTGGTGGTTTGCTTGCTTGCCTGTGCGTTTTTGTTTTCTCTTCCTTCGGGGAGCACACGAGAGGAAGCGCCCGGCTCTGCGTGCGTCTGGCCAACGCGCCCGACAGCAGCTTCTGCTCTCCGCGTCGTTCCATTGCGAATGGCTGGACGAGAGGCGGAGTCGTTGGCGGCCCGCCCCACCATGCGCGGGAGGCGGCGGGTGGAGGCCGTTTTCGGCGCCTCCACCATTTCATCAGTGACGAATTGCTGTAGAGGTGTGGAGGAGTCGAACTGGATTCGCTCCATCTTTCTCCCTCCCTCTCTTTCCCACACACTGTGAGGGACTGAATGCATGCATCTACCTATCGCTCTCTTTCTCTCTCTCTCTATAT